ATTTTCTTTTATCTGAATCAGAAATGGTTATAGCCATGTTTCACAGGCACTGTAACTATGGACATCTAGCTGACCCAGGATCTGCACTTCCACTAACTCACATCCCCCATGGTTATTAAGTTCCCCTACTTTTCAACACATATAGCATTATGTTACTTCCTCACACTCTAACTGAATTTCCAGGAAACATCTGGAATATTATCAGCAAGTTGGTGCTTGATCAAAACTACATCCTCTGCTCTATTCATTTGGAAGTGACTAATTTCAACCCTTAGGTTTGAAGTAAGCATAGATAGATATGTGTTTCAGGAGTTTTCTACCACTTACCGACAGAGACACAATGGACACATTAAATCACCAATGAAAACCCTAAAAGTGTTCATCTCCTCTACCCTAAGATAGCTACTCAGGTAGTGTACAGTACTGTGAGTACTGTTCTCTGTTTTGCAATAATCCTGGGTAACTGCTGACTATTCGAAATGAATCCCAAAGTTCCCCAAATGAAATTTTAAATTCCGTTTGATATTTTTAAGTGAATGCTCAAGAACACTGGTTCTCAACCCTGGCTCCATACTAGAATCACTTACAGCACTTTCATAAATACCAGTACCCAGCTTCTCCCTCACCCTCACACCACCCTTCAAAGATTCTGATCTAATTGGTTTGGAGTGAAACCTAGATATCAGTATTTTCTTTTTTTTTCTCTTCTTTAGACATCAGTATTTTCTTAAAAGCCCCTCAGCTAAACTGAATAAATTAAAGTACCATGTTAAATATTTAAGGTATAACCACATTGTGGCTATATTTTTTAAAAGGAGACTTTGTTAGTAGAAAAACTGGTGAAGCTCAAATAAGGTCTCCATTTAGTTCACAGCCCTGTACCAATGCTACTTTTCTGGTTTTGATCATTGTACTAAGGTATTCAAGATGATAACTTCAGGGGAAACTGCATGGGGGGTATACAAGTATGCTCTGAATTACTTTTGTGACTTTTCTTTAAGTCTATAATCCAAATTGAAAAGTTTTTCTGAAGAATCCTTTACTTTTAAGAATACATACTTATTTATGAATAGAATGATATGCCTGGGATTTACTATAAAATAGACCACTTGGGGAGGTGGCAGGGAGTGAGTGGGGCTGTGGATGAACAAGGAACATTCAGGAGTTGATAGCTGTGGTAGTTGGGTGATGAATACATGAAGATTCACTGTATCAGTCTGCCTTTTCCAGTACATGTATAAAATTTTCCATCATATATAATGGATGAAAAACTTCCCAGGTGATTCTAGCATGCAACCAGGGCCAAGAAACACTGTTCCAGAGTCTTAAAAATGTGGTACAATGAGGAGTTCTGTTTGATACTACCAGCTACAAGATACTTTACTTGGTCCTCTGACATTGAGCTTGTCACTTAATCTCTCTGTACCACACTTTTCTAAACTGCAAAAAACAGATTTGGATTAGAGAACTTTTAAAAAGAAAGACAAGCAACAAAAAGCCAATTTCTTATGCTTCTGGAGGTTCTTTCTCTCTGGAGGTTCCTCAAAGAATTAAAAACAGACCTACCCTATGACCCAGCTATCTCACTACTGGGTATATACCCAGAGAAAATGAAATCAATACATCCAACAGACACCTGCACTCCCATGTTCATCACAGCACTGTTCACAGCAGCCAAGAGACGGGATCAACCTAAATGTCCATCAAGAAACTGTGACATATATACACAATAGAGTACCACTTAGCTATTAAAAAATGGATGGAAATGGAAACCATCATGTTAAGTGAACTAAGTCTGGCCCAAAAAGACAAATACCGCATGATATCAATTATATGTAGAATCTAAAAAAAAAGGTGGCTGTCACAGAAGAAGGGAGTAGAATAATGGTTTACCAGAGGCCTGAGGGGAGGGCAGGGAGGGAGGCGAGGAGGTTTAGGTTGATCCCGTCTCTCGGCTACCGTGAACAGTGCTGTGATGAACATGGGAGTGCAGGTGTCTGTTGGATGTATTGATTTCATTTTCTCTGGGTATATGCCCAGTGGTGGGATAGCTGGGTCATAGGGAGGAGAGGAGGAGAAGTGGTGGACTAATGCGTACAAAGCTATGCTATCTTCCCTAAGTGAATCATTGTGTAGTATATGTATGTATGGAAACTACACACTGTACCCCACAAACATATACAAGTAAATGTTAAAATATTTTGAATTTTTAAAAAAACTCTAAGAATTAATGTCATAGATAATTCCTAGCACAACAGCCAAAATGCTATGTCCACAATAGCATTTCCCACAGAATGTTCTAAAAAACGCTACTTCTATGGGATGTTAATAGATATTACCTAAGAAAGGGTTCTGAGGTCAAGTAAGTTTGAAAGTGCTGATTTTCTTTACTGTCAGACTCCTAAGAACTTTAAATAATATAATACGCATTGTGAGTCTCCACGGGGTGGCGATAGGATATGCAAAAAGTCTGACCTTCTTTACACGAGACTAATTTAGTAGAACTTATTTTGGAATACAGTGTCTAGACCAGTGGTTCCCAAGTCCCAGCTAATGGAGCATGGCATCACCATTATTTGGTAACATTATTAAAATAATAATTTTCACACACACATACACACACAAATTCACAGACCACACCCTAGACGTACTGGGGTGAGGGGAGAGCTCAGTATTAAAACAAACAAAAAATCCAAGCGGTGATGTCGCATAGCCATGTTT